GGATGGCTTCTCTCTGTGGTTGCTGGGAGATTCAAACCCACTGTGACTAGAATGCAGACTGTTTCTTAATAGAACCTTTGTTCACAGCTGGTCTTTCCTATGATCTTAATTGTATTTTGGTGTCCACAATCAGGTGATCTCAAACAGTGAAAGGTCACTTAGGTCCTAGCACAATAGCAACAGTAGCTGAAGATAAATTCTCTTTTTTTATTTAGTTGGATTGTTTGTTGTCTGCATGGGTCCACATTTTCTGAGGTTCTTTTTGGAGTGCTGCTTTCTTTCTTTTTATCCACCCCTTGATTTCATTGAAAGGACAAAAAAGTCTAACTCTTTTTCACTTGGGGCCCAATCCAACTCCCACTGAAGTCAATGGGAAGAGTCTTGCTGATTTTGATGGAAATTGGATCAGGCTCATCATTCCTATTCTTCCTAGAAGCAGACATTTTCCCTAAAAGTGTGAGTAATCTCTTGGCTGTAGAGTGGCCTATATCTCTGAGTTACAGTCTCTCTGTTTCAGTTAGTGTGTGTTCCCATAACACCAAGAGGAATTATAATGTGATGATAAATTGTGCCTGGTTCAGAAGGAGAAGAAAGAGTGGAAGCACTTGAGCACTCCTGGTCTTTAATGTAAATAGTTACAGGTAGAACCAAGGGTGTGAACAGCAAAACATGTGCTGGTCTTTCTTTCTGACAATGATCACTACAGAAGTACAGAATGTTTATTATTCTACTTCACTTTAAATGCAGTTGAACTATATCCATCTTAACTGTAAACAAGCCCCAGACTAGCATTATATATTACGCTTGTTCAGGGTTAAATAATTGCATCTGTTCTAGATTTACAGTAATTCCTTTTCTTTTTAACACAAGTGATTGAACACCTCTGTAGGAATTAGCAGAGCATAATGCTGCATTCAGAGACTCCTGAATGAAGGAGAGTGTGACGTTTGTTTGGCTTTTACTAGTGTTACCTAATAAATGCTCCACACTGCTCTATATCCTGAGTGCAGCATGAGACCACACTTAGGAAAAGTTAAGAGTACTCCACTAAGAAAGTGGATGGACTGGTTCAGCAGTAACAATTTGTGTTTTAAGAGGTAGCAGCAAAGGCAATATTGTTATCATTCAGCCATGTCCGTGTGCAAGGCCACGTCTCATGCATCTCCTAAATTAAGAAAAACTGCTTCTTTCTGGTAACCATGCATCCTATTTCTCTAAGGCATTGTTTTGCAGTATCAGGAATGCAAGTACAAGCTCTGTTGCTTTATTCCTTTGCTTCTGTCAAATGGCTCCAGCCTGACAGTCAAAGGAGAGTGTTCACTTGTTGTTTACATCAATATGTCTCTGTCATCGGTCTACAACAGCAAGTAATGGTAGCATAGCCCATTCAATCCTGGAAGATATGTCTGAAGCAAAAACTAAGTATCAGTCCAGTTCCCAATAGACAGGAAGGCAACCATGCTGTAAAAATCACCACCACCACCACAACTGGCACTAATTGCTACTCCTGTTGGCATGTTCAGTAAACAGGCCAAGGATTGAATGGGCCACAAGTACTCCTTTTCTTTTTGCGAATACAGACTAACACGGCTGTTCCTCTGAAACCTGATTTATCCTGTTACTCCTAGAAGTAGCCCCTTTGGGCCAAGATTGGGAACAGCATGAGGAAGTTTGCACTGTTGATACTTATGCTCTTCCTGTTCTGTGGATAAGTAGAAGAGACTGAGGTTGAGATTTTCAAAGCTGTCTTGGGCAGTTAGCTATAGCTTTTCTATTAAAATTAATGGAAGAAATGTGTCTAAATCCCTTTGCCTGATTCAGTCTCCTAGGCCTGTCGGTCTGGCATTTAAATGTCACCAAATTTAAAAATAAAATAAAATTAAAAGAATATTACAACACAGCTATTAATCCCAGAAGCTGCAAAACAGATTCTTTAAATTACCCATTAAGGTTTCTGTGTCTAGATTAAGTTATTTGTTTCCTCCTGTATTGGTGTTGGCTTCAATATACTTAAGGCCTAAAAATTCTCTTTTCTTTGGCATTTTTTTTAATCTTTGCAAATAAATACAAAACAAGGACGTGTATTAAAGGAGTAATTGTGGACTAAAAAGGAACAAGTGTATTTTCCTTCAGGATATGAAATGTTACCTATAACATGCACATCTTGAACTAGTGACCCTAGTGGCATGTAGCACACAGTGACCTCTGTGTAAAATTGATGACAACTAATATCAGCTACCCACTCATTCTCCCTCTGTGTGATATTAATGCTGCCTCATGCAAACAAAAACACCTATCAAGTGTGAGCCCCAAATACTGATAAATGCTACTGCACTAATGAAGGAAGAATGAAAACGCAAAGTGCCATCATAAAAAGAGCAGAGATCTAATGAATATGGGGAAGTGGCTGTTATGTTTGTGCTGTTTTGGGGTTTTTTTGAGTTTGGGTGTTTAGAAAGTTTATTTAGGAAGCTTTAACGGGTTTACAAATCATTGACATGTAATGTTCAAAAATAAAATATTAATCATTACAAGACTGAGTTTATTAAACATTTTGTTTAAAGAAACATTATGTGGTAATATGGTAATTAAATCTCTCTCTAGCAGGAAGTTACCATATTACAGAGTGAACCTCTTTCCACCACCAGGATTTGTTGCTTCTTATGATTTTATGAAGTTGAGTGAAACTACTGGCTCCACTCGTATTTATCAAACCAGATGTGTCTATAAAATGTTAATATTTAAAAAAATTGACAGGTGTGCTGGGTTTTTTTGCAGGCAAATGTACTTTGAGTATTGGATAAATAGTAACCAAATATCTAAGTATCTATTTGTCCTCTGTCTGTTTTGCTGGGTACGTAACTGATGCATTGATTTTTCCATTACAAGGGCCCATATTTTTTTGAACTATTTCTCTAGTTTTGGATTTGTTTTTTTTCTTCAGTGAGAGGCTATCAGTACTCTAGCAGTCCTAGCAGATGAAAGTTTAGATTCATTCTTCATTGCTCTGTGTGTGACCATTTCCACTAGGAAGCCCCAGAACAATCATTTGGTAATAAATATCCAATAGTTTGTAGTATCTGGTTACAAATCACACCCCAATACTCAAGAATGATAAGACATGTCCACCATATATGTATAAAATCTCCTCTTTCACCACAATCTCTCCAAAATTTCTCCCCATTCATCTCCCTGTGTTTTTTAACCTGATTGGTATGAGGCACCGTTGAAACAATGTCTTACAGAAATTTCCTTTTATTGTGGTATCAACTGATGTTGCAGGTCCTCTTTTTCAGTTCAAAGCCCTTCCGCCTAGGGTAATTTGTCTATCCAAATTTTTTTCCACTGTATCTCACTTGGACATTTCCTTCATAGGAACAACATTGATTTATATTAAATAGTTGCAATTTTTTTGTTTCCTAACCAACCAGAAACTGTACCATTGGGAGAGTGAGCAAGTTAGTTAGTTTTGAATAATAAATAAGTTAGAAAAGTTTCTTTGGAGAACAGCTGGCCAACTGTATGTATTCCATGCCCCTCCTAATCTTTAAAATACCTTTTTGTGATTTGGGTTAAAAAATCTGGATTATTTGAAATGAGTGTCACTGGCAAATGAAAAGGATTTATATCCATTCTATCCCAAACCCATAGAGTGCAGAAGAACTAAGGAAAAAGAACGAGGAGTACTTGTGGCACCTTAAAGACTAACAAATTTATTAGGGCATAAGCTTTCGTGGACTAAAACCCACTTCATCGGATGCATCCAATGCTTATGCCCTAATAAATTTTTTTAGTCTCTAAGGTGCCACAGGTACTCTTCGTTCTTTTTGCTGATACAGACTAAACACAGCTACCACTCTGAAAGAATAACTAAGGGTCACCAAATGAAATTAATAGGCAGCAGGTTTAAAACAAACAAAAGGAAGTATTTTTTTCACACAACGCACAGTCAATCTGTGGAACTCTTTGTCAGAGGATGTTATAAAGACTAAGAGTGTAACAGAATTCAGAAAAGAGCTAGATAAATTCATGGGGAATAGGTCCATCAATGGCTAGTAGCCAGGATGGGCAGGGATGGTGTCCCAGCCTCTGTTTGCCAGAAGCTGGGAATGGATAACAGGGGATCAACCACTTTATGATTACCTGTTCTGTTCATTCCCTCTGGGGCACCTGGCACTGTCCACTGTCGGAAGACAGAATACTGGCCTATATGAACCTTTGAGCCGACCCAGTATGGCCATTCTTATGAGTAGGCTTTTCTAAAGGATGTGTATACATTTCTGGAAAGTGTGGCCTTTTGTTAATCTGTAGTACCTAGTAAAGTTTGCACTGCCACAGTTTTCTTGTTCAATAAAGACACAGTGTTTATCTGGATTAGAACACCCCCAAGCAGCTGTTGCTTTGAACTATCTGTCTTGATAGCATTTGAAACCGTATACTGTAATATTTGAACTGTGTAATATTTGAAACCAATAGTACCCCCTGTTTAATGGGTCTGTGTAAAGTATCTGCACTCATTCTCAGTGTTTTCTTATTCCATATAAATTCTCTCTATTTCTGCTAAAGTTATATCTGGGATGATTATAGAAAGATTTTGAAACAAAAAAATTGCCCTTGGCAGAATATTCATTTTGAGTGTGACTGTTCTTCCGAATCAAGAAATTGCATACATCCCCCCGTGCTCCAAATCTTTTTTTCATTTGCTGAAGTTGTGGTTTGATATTTGAATCATACAGCTCTTTTAGGTTGTTTGAGATTTGAATTCCCAGGTATCTTACAGAACCTGTTGCCCATTTGTACCCAAATGTTTTCTAGAGGGGTAACTTCTCAGAGTCTGGCATATTTAGAGGTAGCAGTTCAGATTTGGAATAATTTACTTTAAAGCTAGTTGCTTTCCCAAAGTAATGGATTCTGTAGATACTGATTTTAGGGAATTGTTAGGGTTAGATAAAAATAATATTACAAGAGTAATGACAAAAATCAATTTCTATCTCTCACAGGTGGCTAAAATACAGGCAGATTTTCCTCAGAGCAGATGCCAGTGCCCTTCAGATTAATCAACTGGCAGGAGACAATTTGACAGGTGAAGCAGGCAACTTCTTTTCTTCCATCTAGACTACATATTCATCATCACAGCACACCGATATTTCAGAAGCCTGCAAACTGTGAGTTCTGTACCTTCTCTCAATCCACAGGAATCCACTTTGTTTTCACATAATTATTTTAGAGAATATGCATTTTGAGAGATTTTTGGCGTATTTACAAAAAAGCAACACCGTTCGATTTATTGTACTTAATTTTTACAGCCTGACACTCAAACCAGGGAGTCTAATTTTCAGATGTCTGGCTCTTTCCACATAAGTATATCAGTATGTAAATGGGTATTTTGGGGTGCATGGTTACAACCTTCATTGTAATATGACTTGTCAGGTTGCATCAACTTCTAACCATGGTGGGAGCAGAGGGATACTATTTTTGTGGCAGTAAGAAAATAGTTTCTTTACAAAAGCTTCTACATTCAGAAAAGGTCAAATTCACGAGGAAAGAAAAATCATTTCTAAGCAGGGAGACCTAGATTTCTTTATCATTTCATTTTCCAGGACATCTCAGTTTTACTCTAGCAAATTTTTAACCTGTAAATGTACCATTTCTCTTGAGATACAGCACATTATATAAAAGCAAATGTTTAGTTCCTCTCTTGTTGTTTGTATTAAGTCCATCAGCTTGGTACTGTTATCTTGTTAATTATGATTTTCTCCTCATTTATCTGGATTAACTCTCCCTGCCTTTCCCTGCCTTCTCATGATTCAAGGGCCTGATCCTGCTTCCATAGAAGTCAGTGAGGGACACATTTTCAAATTATCTTATATGCACACTTATGTAGCGTGTAAGCTCTTCAGGGCAGGGACCATCTCTTTGTTACTTGCCTGTACAGTGCCTAGCACAATGGAGCTGCGGCCTCTAATGCCATACTACAATACAACAATAAATAATGTACAAACACTGAATTGTGTACACTGGATGGTGGCAATACACAAAGATGAATTTGAACTAAGCATGCTGAAAATTTTGCTAGAACTGTGTGCAGCTGAAGTCAGGGCAGCCACACAGATTTTCATTACATGTACAATGCTGGGATTTTGAAATAGAGCTTCTGTGAGCCACTCATTCCTCCACCACTTTCTGAGACAGCTGCAGTTCAGGTCGCACTGCTTCTTCTCCTTCTTTTTCTTAATGGCTCCAGTAAGGTATACCTGTAATTGGGTCCAGATAGCTCATCACCTGAGCATAAGTGGAAGAAACTAAGGGGAAGGGGTGTTGGAAAGAGCTTTGCAGCATCTGGATGCTCAAGAACTAGGAAAACATAAATACTGGAACATGCAGGAGATAAATGGTTTGGCTGAGCCAGTCTCATTAAAATGCACTTTCTTCCTGAATTTTTCTTCCTGAATTACAGCATTTCCCCATGGAGGCCTTCCTATTTGGGCTAAAAAAAAGGGGGGATTGGGATGAGGCATGCTTTGCCATAGACTATCCTTTATTCCAGGCAAGCTCAGAACAGTAACACAACTGTGCTGTGTCTTCCATCCTCTGCACATGTGCTGCTCTGTAACATGGACAGAGGCACCTAAATGAGCTTGGACTGGAACTTTTCAAACATGTGCTGACACACTGGAGCTGTTGGTGAGGTTGCCACGAGGGACAGAAGTAACCATAGCAAAGTTGGTTTTCCCAGGAACTTCATGGCTAAACTAAGGGAGTGGACTGTAGATTTTTACCATCCTACAATACCGGACGAGGGAGAGAAGATCCTAACTTCTGTGCCTGTGGCAACCAGAGTCCTTCCAAGAAGCAACATGCAGCAGTGGCCACTGGTGCCTGAAGTATAACTGTCACTTAGCAATAGATAAATCCAAGAATTTTTTTTACATTGGCTCAAAAGCCTGCTTGGCTCTTATTTTAAATTTTTCTAGCTTCACTGTGGATGTGTGTCATTTTGGCCCATTCGCTTGGGGTTTTCACAGGGATTGCAGATTTGGACCCCTGCACAGCATACAGTCATTTAATGTGTCGTGCATTAAAATATGCTTTTACCAGACTTATTGCACTGTATTCTGTTTATCTTGCTCTGTTGATACTGTTCTGAAGATATTTCTTTAGGAACTCTAAACTGGCATCCTTTTTAAAATCTGAAAAGAATAGCAAGTAACATCATAAGTGCTGATAACACTTGAGAGTGTGATTTACGCACACAACACTCACCCACTGAATCTAATTTGTTATGGCTTAATTTGCACTTAATTTTCATTTAATTAAATGTGAAAACAACATGAAGTATGTACCTGTGAGGATTTCTTTGAATTAATGAACTTCTAAAAATCAAAACAAGCTGACATCAGCCATGCAGAGGTTTATATCCAAAGCTAAATCAGGGTTTAGAAAAGGTTAGTAAAAATGTAATCTCTGCCTTACACTGATGATGCTGATAACTTACTCATGATGGATAGCACCTTTCTCTGTGGATTTGAACAAGCCTATTAATGGAGTAAGTAACTATTCAGTATGAATATAAGAATCTGGCCCCGTATATGTATCAACAATACATCACAAACCTATGTCATTTGACTTTATGTGTTTGACTCTAAAGATGAAGGCCATTCACTCTCAGATGCCTCAGGAGAATTACAGCGTGTTCTAGTTGGCAAGTCATATCAGGAAGTTTCTCTTGAATTCTTTCTTACATATGCCTGAAGATGCTTCCACTTCCAAAAAATAAATAAAAATAATTACTAAATAAATTAAATCCGATAAAAAAACAGCGAGATTCTCTAGGGTCCATTTCACATTTTGCATTTGTAATTAATACAAGTTCACTGAGATGAAAGTTTATATCTGTTTTTGAGAACAAAATGTCCCTGAAATAGACACGCCTTTTTGAAGATTTTTTGGAGAAGTTAGAGAAAGAGCACTGATGTTCATTTTTAAGTATAATTCCGTATTAAAACAGTCAGCTGCCTAGAAGACTAATTAGATCATCAAACCCAGCCTGGACAGCTAGATGGATTCCTTGTATCTTTGCTTGTTGGTTTGCCACTAGATGGCATTATCTATTAACTGCAAGGTGAACTATACTTTTTGCCATGGCCTTAACATCTACAGATTAATAAAGTAAAACAAGGTCCCTGTGTTTGTTTCCTGATAAATGCAGAAGTGAAAGCACTTTAGCTCAGAAGTCATTTGACATAATTATGCATCACTGTAACTCAGTCAAGCCTTAACACATCCGATATGGATTTACTCAAAGCAATGAGAAGAAGTCAACTGTGGCAATCCCAGATGACCCCATATGTAATGCACATTTCCTAATAAATCCCTTCTATCCTCATTATTGCATTTAAGATTTGGAAAAGAGCATGTTTGATTTCCAGTGCCAAAAGTTTTTACAGACAATAGCTCCCTTGTTATATGACTGCATTTTAAGCATTAGGAAGCGTTGCGTTGTTTCACATTGAAGTCTAGGTAAAGATTCAGAGTTGAAGATTATCTTTAAATAAATAGCACCAGATATGAGCAGGTATTTCATATTCTCTATAGCTTTGACTTAGGAGGCAATGAATGAATTATCACGGGTATTGTAAATGTAGATGAGAGATTTGTTAGTGGGCAGTTATGTACCTTAACTTTGGTGGGATTGAACCAGTGTTAGGGCAAGATTCCCATCCAGCCACAAACCCAACTGCACACTCAGCAGTGCCTACTGTACAGTGCTTCCTTCCCCAGCAAAGGAGGCTGCAAGCTTTATCAGCTGCTGCTTTCTCCAGACAGGAGAACAAGGATACAGGGATCCCCTACTGCATGCAGTTGTTCTTTCCTGCCCAGGGTGGGTGCTCTAAGGCAGTGGTTCCCGAACTTGTTCCGCCGCTTGTGCAGGAAAAGCTCCTGCCAGGCCGGGCTGGTTTGTTTACCTGCCACGTCCGCAGGTTCGGCAGATCGCAGCTACCAGTGGCCACGGTTCACTGCTCCAGTCCAATGGGAGCTGCTGGAAGCGGTGGGGGCTGAGGGACGTACTGGCCACCTTCCTTGCATGCATATTTGTGAATATTGCATAACTTAATTAAAGCATTATTTTGCAAAATGCCCTTTGAAACTATGTCCCAACAGCTCTTCTCTAGTAACCTCCTCTCCACACCTTCTGTGGTCCTTTTTTATTTGTACCTGCCTCCAACTTCAGCTCATTGCACTGCAGCCATTAACCCTTTCCATGAGAAGTAATGGTCTCCAAGTTCTGTTAACAATGCAAAATGAGGGTAGCTTACTGGGGAAAGGCAGGGATTTTCCTTTAAAAGCCATTTAAATGATGATGCTGTATTTGGCAAGAATAGTAATAAATAGCCTTTTGAAAAGAAAACTTATATCAGTGGGTCATATTCTGCCGACCTGTACAACTCACTGAAGTCAATAGGCTTGAAGGGATGTAACTGAGAATGTTTTGACCCAGTAAGCTAAATTCACACATGGTGGAAGTTAATGAATCTGAAGTCAGGGATGAATCTAGCTCTTTAAATATTTACAGTGAAATCAGCTTTCATTATAGAGCAACCAAGCATTGCAAGAAAGCTGGCACGGGCAGTTACGGTACCATTTCTAGCGGTGCTAATTATAAAGTTAGATATCTTTAAGGTGTGATTAATGTAGCATTATATACTGCCTGATGCAGCTAGTTGCATTAAATGGTCCAAGAGATCTTTCTCTGGACATTAGCTATGACTATTATTCTGTGAAGTAATTGACAATATTAACTGTGTATGTTTTCATAAATAATCTTAATTACCCATTATTGTAAACATCTAACTTCATATTTCTAAATTTATCATCAGTTAAGAGCAGAATGAATAGAAATGCTTAATCAACTCACACACACACACACACACACACGTGCACACACATACACACAAATGGAGCACTGGGCACCTTAACCTAAGTGTAGAGAAATGAATAGGAAGGAAAATTACCACCGGATTAGCTTTCAGGTTAGCACTTATTAAAGAAATTGCTAGAAACCCAGTTCTACTTTGTAATAGAGTTTATGCTTCCTTTGTTGTATTGAACAGCACCTTATTAAGTTATCTTAATACAATGAAATGCTAATAGGATATGCTGAAATCCTTCACTGAATCTCAATTTCAAGTTTTTGCAGCAGCAGTGTTCAATCTGTGACCTCATCTACACTATAGAAAGTTGGCATGATCCAACTTGAACATCCCTAACACACCTTATGTCCACTCACCAGTGCTCCCAATAGCGCACAAATCAACATTTGGATTAGACTTGCTTTGAGCAAGGCTTACTACCATGTGGTCCTCTATGGTGCCATTCTGCAGCAGGATAGGGTACCCCCTTCAGATAGGGGCTAGGAGAGCTCCCTTTTCCTCCTATATGGCATGCAGGGGACCAAGGAGATGGTGCCACAGACAGTCCAGCAGAGGCAGCAGTGATGGCAAGAGGTCTAAAGACATGGAGGCTGGAGTGGAAAAGGCTGCTTATTCGGGAGAAATGGGGGAAGCTAGAGACTGACCTGGAGCAACAGAAGTTTGCTGACCAGGACAAATGCTACTGGCTCAAACAGGAGAAGACTGTTTGTAAAGTCACACCCATGGAACCCAAGAGGAAGGATATAAGGAATTACATACTCAGGAGCTGGTAGGCAAACAGATGAACCCCAGTGCTCTGCTTGTGACCAGAGTCAATATAGGACACCAAAGAAGGTCCTGGGACTCCGACTATGGGAATATGGCAGGAATATTGGAAATAAAACCAGGGTTTTAAAACCATATTCAGGCTTTTATCCAGGAAAGGCAGAGAGGGTGAATCAAACTCCTTCAGCTGACTCCCAACATGTAGAGGGAGCAGTGAGCCAGAATGCAAATGGGGTAGCTGATAGTAAGAAGTGGGGGTAGGATCCTCCCAGCGGATAACAAAGTAACCAATTGCTTAGACAGCCAAGAAGGAAAGGGAATTTCTTCCCCCAATCTGACTGCTTGATGGTCTGTAAAAATGTAAGAGTCTGAGACTGGTGGGGAAGGAAATGCTGCTTGCTATGACTTTGATGCTTCGTGTGTCAGGAACAAAAGGCCAACACTCTGAGATTGTGGTTGTGTGTGGGTATAGGTGTAGTGGGGGTTCAGTAATCTTCCTCCTCCCCCCCACCCCAGTAGCTGAGGTCATGCCACAGGGATTCCCAGTCCCTGACCTCCAGAGAGGTGGGATGGAGAAAGGATTTGGGCTATGGGGAAGAAAGTTTATTATATGAATTATAATTTGAAATTATAAAAGGTATTAACTGTCATGCCAGCCAGGGAATGAACCTGTAGGTTCCTCTAGGATGATGATCAAGCACCCTAGTGACATTCACTTCTGTATGGAGGGAGATGTGACCAATTCTGTAATCGCATTCATGACCTTTGGTGACTATATTCTATTAAATCTATGAATGGTTTGGTATGATTGTGTTCTACTCCATGGGGGATGCTTACCACAGCTCCAAGAGGAACTAAAAACAGTGGAGGTGATGAAGGTGAATCACTGAGACTAAACAAAGGGGTATCACCCCCTGGAGTGATTTCCATATACTGGTTCAAGCTCAGTTTTCCAGAGACAAGGAGACAGACAGGGCTTTTGGTATAAAAAGATGTGCTTGAACTGACACAAGGTCTTTCTTTTGAACCAGAAAATGGATGGGATCTTCTGTCCAAGATGAGCTTCCATTTGTGGAAGGGTTGGAAAGACTTGGCCTACTAGGGCCTCATGAGACCAATGTGTGACTCCTGGGGATGACAGCTGCAGTATTAAACCTTGAAAATTCAAATTTATAAATATATCTTTAAAAACCCACATAGTTGGGAAGCTCTCTGCTCTGCCTGGTGCCCAGGGCTGTCTTTCTTCAGACATCAGTATCCCCATTTTTTCAGAAGTCCAACCCATGAGTCACCACTCCACATTCAGAGCTAACAACTTGCAAAATAAATACCGTGAGCCAAAGTTTCAACTCACAGGGTCCCTGGCAAATGCTCTCCTTGGTGAGTTGGAGTCACAGATGCATAGAGAGCCTGGAACATGTGGGCTTGCTCTCAAGGAGACCTTGATGATCAAGGAAGAATTGGAGCCTAATCAGCACTGCCCTAGGAGAATTCATGAAATGTACACATTCCTTTGCACTGTCCTAGAGGCTGTTCTGGAATTTTTCTTTCTGCAACAGCAGCAGCTCAAGTGCAGTATGCTTCCACTGGTCCTTGGTCTGCAATTGCACACTACCTTCCTTTTGAGGCAGGTCAAATCTACAGACCTGAACTTAATTAATGCTGCTCTGGGCATCATTAATTTACAAGAGCTTTTCCACCAGAAAATGTGTAGGTTTCACAGGGTATGTCTATGCTGCAAAGTAACCCCAGGGTTTTTGGGACTCGAGTTAGCTGACCCTGGTTTACAGAACTCTGGGCTTGAGCATCTACACTGATTGTCAACCCTATATTAAGAATTTTCTAACCCAGGCTCAAATCTAGGGCTCTGGCATCCACACTTCAGCACACAGACCCGAGTCAAACCAGCCATTTCCCAAACTCCCTAGCAGACTCCCAAAATGAGGCCACTGTAGCTTTCTGACATGGTGCATTGTGAAGAACTTGGCAGTGCATCCTGCACATTACAGGAAGTTTGAACAGCCCAGCTCCACTCCCAGTTACCAGAACCAGCAACATGGAGGAAAAGTTTTCAAGAACTTCTCTTGCTTGCGCTTTCACTCCTGTGTCCGGAAACAGGCAGCATTTCCACGGGACACTCGTGGTCATTTTGGTATAATTTTTTGACCCATCAAAGGCACCTGACAGAACTCATGATGGATCAGGAGGAGGAGGCAGCAGAGGAGGAGGAGTACCCGGGCAAGGCAGACTCAAACTGGCTGAGTCTGCTCATGACACTCAGTATAGCTGCTGATGCCCCCTGAATGCCCTCTGACACAGGGCCACAAGCACCGACTGGTGGGATCACATAATCATGCGGACCTGGGATGACCAGCAGTGACTCCAGAACTTTCACATGAAGAAAGCCACATTTCTGGAGCTTTACAAGCAGCTTCCTCCAACATTTCAGCGTAAACTAGGTGCACACATGAGGGCACCCTTGCTGGTCCAGAAGCGGGTTGCTGTAGCCATCTGGAAGCTCAGTAGGTGTAGAATGGTTGTTAAATGTGTTTTTGGCAGATTGAAATCCCATTGGAGAGGTCTACAGACACATTTGGATGCCAATCTCATCAGTGCTGTCTGCACTACCATGGCTTGCTGTGCTCTTCACAATCTTTGTGAAGCCAGAGGTGCACCATTTCCCTCTGAATGCACCTATGACAGTGAGGGGCTGCTGAATTGGTACACTCAGTCAGAAAGTCCACCTACCACAGCTGGAGTTGGATGTATCCGGGCAACAGAACTCAGGGATGCTTTTTGCGTCCGCATTATGGACTTGCATGGCTCAAGGGAAGAGGGGGAATAATACCTTTATGAATGTGCTTCTGGAGGGGAGAGGATGCTTGAGGAGGGATGGGGGCTTGATTGTCATGCAGTGTACTTATGGATGACTGGCCACTTATGAAATGGGGATGGGGGATGATTCACAGTATGGATTCATATAAGGAAGTGATTGAAGTGAATTGATGTACCTAACCATATAGAGGAATAGTGTTAACTTACTAATTCCTAATTGTCCTTTTTCATGTGTTTACCTTTATTATTTTAAATACATATTATTTTAAATATGATGTGATGCAGTGATAGCAACAAACTTTGTTGGTGACATAAAAAGCTTTGTTTATAATATGTATTAGAAAAGTACAACATTGACCCATTGTTAATGGCAGCTGGCCTACCTACCACACCAAAATACTAGTAACAACCGGGGATGCTGGAACTGGGGGGCCATGGCCCCCTGGCCTCCCACTTTTTACCAGACGTAAGGGTGAGTGATGGGGGGAGGGGACGGAGAGGAGAGAGGAGGAGGCGGAGTCGAGGGATGAAGGGGCGGCGCAGGGACTTGAGGAGAAGGGGCGGCATGGGAGCGGAGGTTTGGGGGTAGGGGCAGCATGAGGGTGGAGCCTCAGGAGGGAAGGTGCAGTGCAGGGGGAGGTGCAGTGCCTGTGGTGGTTCGGGCTCCTGTGGGCCCCCCCCCCCCATTTTTAGGGCGCTTCCGCTTCTCCTGGTAACAACAGAATCTTTCCCCCCAAAAAAGTACATGAACAAGTGCAAACAGTGAAACTGTGTACAAGACAGAAACCCCCATGCGTCGTGGCCTTGATTCTCCTTTCCCTGTCTCCCAATCTCTTAGTACTGAAGAAGGGAGGTGGAGGCATCCATAGGGGAGAGAGTCAAAGCTGGAGGACTGCATGGGGCTAAGTTGGCCTGCCCAGCCACTCATGGGGCCCGACTGTATGTCCACCCAGCCAAGCTGTTTCTGGACTGCATCTGATGGTACCATGCCGGGCACTCAGGCTGGGATGTGGGTGCAGCAGAAGCTAGTACTCTCGCAGCCATTAGTGATATCAGCCACTCAAACAGTTCTCTCTGCTGAGCTCTGTCCTCCTCCCTTAGCCACCGTTCCTGTTTCAGGAACTGCAAAGGAAGTGCCTGCTCCCATGCTGAAACCCTGTCCTCAAGTTATGCAGCCAGCCTCAGGCTGTCCTCTTGTCTCTCGCCGTGCCTTTTCTCTAGCTGTAAGTCCTTCTGGTTTTGGTACTGGACCCGTTTGTTGGTCCTGTCAAGAACTTCAACCATAAGTTTATCACAGAAATGCTTCCTCTTGGAACGGTCAGTGAAGCTACATTGGCCCAGCCTTGTACTGCAGTGTGGGTGAGCTGTGGAGGTACTGCAGCCAGTAGAGATCACGGGGCCTGGAACAGGACAAGACACAGAGCATTATTGTCTCAAACAGCTCAGTGCAGAAACTGGAAAGATCCTTATGGAATTTCAAGGATATAAAATGTTACTTTTCCAAGCTGAAATTCAATACATTGTGAGAGGGATGTTTTAGTCCACAGAAGCTCCCAGAACACAGTCTAGTTAATCACAATGAAAGAAGTGCAGAGACAATGGTATGTTAAATATTCAGAGCTGTTTCTTGATTTCTAAAAATTGCAGATCTTCTTGGGTTGGGAGGGACAACTGTCAGTGGCCTTGCTACAAAAGATTTTTCCAGGGCTTCCACATTTTGGAAGATATAATAGTTCTTGTGGTGCTCGATTGGCAAAACGAGATGTTATTCCAAGCTGCTGGTGAGAAACTGGCAGCATATGCAGCCAAAGTATTCAAATGTATAGTGACTGAATAGCCCATCTGTGAGTGCACTTGCCTGCCTGGTCAGCTACCCAGGTGGCCCTGGAAAATACACCCTTCTCCAAAATGTGTTTCTGCTTCCGGAAAAGTTTGCATCTCTCAGTACGAGGGATTGGGTCAGAATTCATCAGAGAATCAACAGGATGCAGCATTAGCTTCCACATTAGCCAGCTGTGATTGCATGCAGACACACAGAACTCCACAGCCATCCCCTTACACAACCGCCCGCCCCAGCACATTTCTGGATAGATTTTCAAACCCTCATCAAATTTAGGACAAATGCTTCTGTCACCTATGGACTGCATAGATTACATGAACCTGAAAGGGGCTAGATTTTTGCATGGAACACATTTCCATCTCCCACCCCACAGTTCACAGTTTCCAGGAGTCTCGTTACGGAGCAGCGTACTTACAAGAATGGCAATGTAAGGTTATTATTTTTTAAGAAACAGGAATGCCCTAACAAAAATCTGTGCCCTTCCAGTAAAAATTCACTTTCAAGGCATTTTTACTGTCTGCATTTCCTGGTTTCCATTTTTAACTCCATGTGGTGGGGGGCAGGGAGCCATGCTGGTGGCATACAATCTGCCATTCGTGGAAGCACGCTGCTAGCTGGGGCTTCTAATAACTTTTGCATTGGTTCTTAGAATGGAAATCCCTTCCATTACTGTATTGATAAACATTATAATGGAGCCAGAAACTTACTAGTCTCCAGGTGGCTTCTGTTCTGACTGTGTTTGCTGCAGGCTCCACAGTGGGCTGTTCATCAGGGGAGCATCAAACAGCTCCTCCAAGTACAGCCCCAGGATGTGCTGCTGCTGCTCCTGCTCCTTTGAAACCAGTTTCAGTAACAGAGTCACTTCGCTGACCTCACTTGTTGCCTGCTGCTGGCTCCCATCATGCCCTACGCTGGATCCTGGAGCCAGCAGGGTACCATTCCAGATGATCAGGTCATGATGCAGCACCATTGGTTCCATTCTTAGCGCAGCGCCCAGCACTCAGTTAAACTCCTCATAAAACAGGCAGGATGTTGGCAAGTTGCCGAAGGTCCAATTCTGGTCCCTGGCTTTCTTGTACTCACTCATGACACTTAATCTGGTCCCTGCACTGGCCACTGGTGTGGTAAATTTGCAGCAGTGCCAATTGTTATTTGTTGGTATGCGTGATCATTCCTGGTATTCTTACTGAAGTCCACTGTTTTGCTGGCCTCGCACCTGAGATTTACCAAAATCTGGCTGTGCTCCAGTTACCATGAAGCAGCATGCTTTGAAAAGGGCTTGTTCTAGTCAGTCTCCATTGCCAAGGCAGAAGGCTCTCTGATGGTGTGTTTGCAGCTCAGTGGTCAGAAGACAACGAAAGAGTTAACACTGATTCACTGAGCTGCTGCAGTACACCAAAGGAGGTTGCTTCTGTTTTCACTCTAGTTGATTCGAGATTCTGGGGATAAAGAGGACAAAGGAATCAGGCCCTTGGGATTGTGGGATATTTTTGGCAGACTCCCAGGATGTAAGTCGAAGGGGCTGTGTCTAGACTGCAAAACAATAGAGCTTGAACCCTGGGTCCTGGTTTGATATGCACTCGGACCCTTCACCCCCACAGGACCCTAAGACTGAGCCTGAGTCTGAGAGATTTGTGTGTAGATGGAAGGGGGGGTTGGGTTCAAGCTTGAGTCTGAGCCCAGGCTTACACTGCAGTGTAGACGTATCCACAGGTTTCTTCACCTCGCTACCACTGGTTGAATCTATCCTAGGTCAGTGGTGACCACAGTATTGCCAACCTAGGAGATCAAAAATCATGAGATTAGCCAAAAAAAAGTTTCTTTTTAAACACTGTATTGTCTTTTTTCAGTCTGTCTTGATTTTTTACTTCTCCCTGCCCTGCGTGTGTGAGAGAGAGCGAGAGACAATTGGTATTGCCCACTCTCCCAAATGTACTGGAGAAGGTGATTTTGGCCTGCTGAAGGAGCTCTCACCCTCACTCAGCCTGTCCCCTCTCCGGTAATTATGTTCCCCCCTCAGTTCCGCCAACAATCTCAAGCCAAGATCAATTGACACAGTGCCACCAAGAGGATATGCACACCATCATTGCCAGGAGGCAGTGGAGATGGATTGGCCATGTGCTTCAGATGGAAACTGAGTCCATCACCAGAAAAGCAATAAGATGGGTACCTGAAGGCAAGCGAAAACGAGGCTTCCCGAAAACAACATGGCAAAGAGCTGTGGAAGCGGAGCTGAAAAACCTGGGGCACAGCTGGGGAACCGTTGAAAGACTTTCCAGAAACAGACAGGAGTGGAGGAGCTTCATTGCTGCCCTAAACACCAGAGGCATAATGGGAACATCATGATGATCAGTTCTGCCCCTGACAACCTCCCCTGCGCACCTCACCTCTGCTCCTCGTGCTGTTCCTCATCCCCCTCCAGGCTCAAGGAGACAGATCCAGGTGCCCTTCACCCCTCTCTGCTGCTCCCCAGGCCGGGTACTACAGGGATGCAGAGAGGTGGGGGGAGGACAGGCGGAGCCACCCTGAGCTGCTGGGCTCTTCAGCTCTCACCTGTGAGAATGGTTCAGATTGTTGAGTTGAGGGGGAGGAGGAACTCCTGTAGCAGCTCTGGTTGGTTGCTAGGCCCCAGGAGGCAGTCAAGTGGGGTAGGCAGCCACTCCGAGGACTCAAATGCACTTGGTCTGGAGCTTCTAGTGTCTTCATGAGCCTGGCTCCAGCCCCAATTGTGTCACTTGTCAGAAAATCGTAAGAGTTAACAGCACTGCAACCAAATAGCAGCTGTGTCCTGTCTGAGAGGAGTGGTGCTCTTAGCCCAGTTCTTGGTGAATACGTGTCCAGTTCACAGACAGTACTGTCACCATCAGCACCCAGGGACACCCCTGATGGCAACTGCAACAGAGAGGTCAAGGCTCCAATGGAAATGACACCTCAGTTACTGACACTCTCAGAGACAGTCCCCCAGGGCTGTGTCTACACTAGGTGCATTCTGCCAGGATAGGTACAGGCTCCAGCTGGTAGCACCAGAAGCTGCCAAAGCAGAGACTGCTGTCCAAGGAGGGGGAGGGGGTAAAATGGGACCCAGCCCTCTCCTCAGCACACCCTTGTATCCAGACTGTGCACAGGAGACATGCCACACACACATACACTCTGGGGACATTAGGACCTAGGCAGTAGCTCTCTTCCTTACTCTCCCCACCCCCGACCACTATGTGGCCTTGGGGGAAAACTGCAGAGAGCTGCCAGCCAGAGACTCCAGCTGATAGGAGCAGAAGCAGTCAAAGCAGGGACCTCTGGACATTCCTGTCAAAATTGACTTTCTCTGCCCCATGTCACTTGGCTATTTGCTCCACACCTCCCCTCCCTCCTCATTGTGTTTTCACCTCTGCTTCACTCCAGACCTGCCCGCATTACCCTCTTCTCCCCTCCCCTGTCCTGCCCTCCTCCTTATCAACTTTCCTTCCCTTTTCTTTCCATTTAGCTCATCCCCTACAAACTAAATCCACTCCCCCTAAAATTGTGGCACTAACATGACATTTGCTACCATCACATTGATCACTCTGGTGGCATGTTACATCCCTTCCCTCATCTGGTGTCTGTCTTCTCTATTTAAACAATATTGTCTCATTGTTTCCTTTTAGTCCCCTGTCCATCTATCTATATCCATCTCTTGGCCTTGTCTTATACTTAGATTGTAAGTTATTTGGGGCAGATAGTCATTTTGTTTTGTGTTTGTACAGCACCTAACACAACGGGGTCCTAGTTGCTAAATTAATACAAATAAATAATAAGTATGGGTGTAGGCAGTGTTGTAGCCATGTCAGTCCCAGGATATTAGAAAGACAAGGCGGGGGAGGTAATACCTTTTATTGGACCAACTTCTGTAGGTGAGAGAGAAAGAGAGTGAGAGAGAGAAGATTTCACAGAGCTCTTCTTGCTTCAGCTCATCTCTCTCACCAGTGGAAGTTAGTTCAATAAAAGGTGTTACCTTACCCACCTTGTCTTTCTAAAAACTACTGGTTATACTTATTTCACATTTTCAGTGTTTTCTCCACTTAATGATGTTTAATGAATGCTCAAATTCTGGAGCACAAATTGGCACACTCAAAATAGAGCAATGAGTCTCCAACCCAGTGTGACCTGGCCCAATTCTAGCCCTTCACATGAATACAAGTGTCAGATAAAGAAGTGTTGACAAGAGACTGATCTTTATTCCCTGGTCTCAATCACATAACGTGGGTCAGTGTTACAAAAGGTTATACCCACAGGGAAGAGGTTGGTACCCACTGAGTCCAATAGCTGCTGCTAGGCTCTGAGAGCTATTTCCACACTCCCTTTGAGATAACCTCTCTGGAACTTGGCTCCAGGCCATCTAGTGGTCCTTGGTGACAGTGTGGCCTAATGAATCAGAGCATTGGTCTAGGACTCACCTGGTGTGTGTGGGTGTGTGTGTGACCTTGGGCAAATCACTTCACTGGAGTGCCTTGGTTTCCCCATCTCTAAAATGGGGATTAAAATACTGACCTTTGTAAAGTATTTTGAGCACTATTTAACAGCTAATTGTTAATGGGCTCTACACTTCCAAGCTTCTCATTGCAGGGGGTACCCTAGAATTCTACCAGATTCTGAGTCTTCTGCAGGCATGGAAGAAGATTTGGCCCTATTAGCAGTAAGCTAACTTCATGGGGAAGGTTTGCCTATTTGATATTGTGCAAAAAATAAAATTCCAGACTCTTGCATTATTTTTAAAGGTGACATTTACAAGATGGACTCACCTCACAGCCTCAGGGACTATGTGGTCTTTGATGACAGTCTCAAAGGACCGATGCAGTCACCGGGAAAGCCAAGAAACAATGTGTTGCTAAGCAACTGCTACCAGCAAGCTATTCTATACTTATTCATTTAATTTCTAAAAGGACAAATTTTCTAAGTAGCCTCAGCTTAGCCACCAACAGTGCACACACTCTTAATCAGTTGCAATGGTCTCCATGTGTGTAAAATAGCTGATTTGTACACACAAACCAGGTAGCTAGACATCTAGGTACTAAATTTTCAGGTGCCAGTAAAGAGCATGCAAAATTGAGGGTTCATTTTTAGAAGCTGGTTTGCAAATTTGGCACAGAGGTCTTTGACAAAGGCCAGCCTGTATTTGTGTCTTTTCTTTCAATTTCACTTTTACTGAAAGGTTTCAGAGTAACAGCCGTGTTAGTCTGTATTTGCAAAAAGAAAAGAAGTACTTGTGGCACCTTAGAGACTAACCAATTTATTTGAGCATAAGCTTTCGTGAGCTACAGCCGATGAAGTGAGCTGTAGCTCAAGAAAGCTTATGCTCAAATAAATTGGTTAGTCTCTAAGGTGCCACAAGTACTCCTTTTCTTTTTACTTTTACTGAAAGTGACCAATCTTGATACTTCAGATGAGTGGCAACACTTTCTCAGCAGTTTGATTATGCATGTTGATGTTCCTGATGCATGAAGATCTTTTGTGTCATTATTCCCGACACATATGCCAACAAATTTCCTTAGGTAATGAAACAAACGCAAAATGGGGATCTTCAAATGCCATATGGAGGATATTGAATCTCAGATCCGAGCACTCCTTCAAAACCCTGACTAAACTGCTTTTTGAAAAGAGATTAAGCGCAGTAAATCTAATTCTGCTGTCAGGTACAATGATTGTCACTGAAATCAGTGGGATTACTCCAGATTTTTCACCAGTGTAACTGAAATCAGCCCTGGCCCCTAACCGTTGTTATCTGGCAAAGTTATCCTGAAGAAGACTTTTTACCTCAAAGAAGTCATGAATAGAAAAGAAGATTGTGCAAAAAGAACATATGGAAGCTTCCGCATTAATCAGGGGGTGCAGTTTGTTTTTAAAGACTTTATGATGCCTCACGGAAACTTTGAGAAATATTTAGAAACAATTCTGCTTGGACAGTCTGCATTTTGAGTGTTTCTCTTTTCCAGTTTTTTCTTGTTTGCACAAAAATGCAGTCTTTATTCTGTAAGGGTGAAATGCACTCAAGTTCAGAGCCCTTACCCACCCCAGAGTATTATGCAATAACACTTGTTGAGAGTTACTGACCTTGATGAAGTGGAACTTCATGCTCACGTTGGCCCATAATATAACCCTTATATGGTGCATCTTTCCTCTGCACTGGGATGAATTTCACCCGAGAAACTTGGCATGGTGCTGGGGAATCAAGCCCACTGTTTCTCAAAGTTTCCCTTGAGGACTTAGCTGCTTTTTAATGCACATTGCAAACCAGAAGTTGTTCAACAGCAGTTCACCTGTACACAAATTTGACTCCTATAACGTTGCCAAGGTCTCTGAGACCTTTGGCACAGTGCTGTGCTGAGTGGAGCAAATAAAAGGATTCACCATTAAGATACATATAGTAGTCCCAAAGATATGTCGTACTATCATGCAGAAGAGACGCTTAAATATTTAATAGCTATGAAATAAATAACAAGCAGCTCTGAATTACAGGGTCATTTTCCTTTTGGGAAGTTCTGGTGATGTCAAACCACATGGAGGTTCTGAATTCCAGTCCCAAGCTCCCTGGGTTAGCAGAACCTCTCTGCCCCAAGGCCTTATCCTGTTCTCTGACCAGCACTTGGAAGTTGTCAAGATCAGCCCTCTATGATGAACCATGATATGGTGCCTGAGGTAAGCAAGAAAGAAGTTCCTTGACACTCCTCTAAAAATGAATGAATATATTACATGCTTTTTATTAACACAAATGTAAGAAGCTGTACCCCAGCATGGAATTCTAATTCTACAGCAACTTGCATTACATGACACAGAAAGACAGTTGTGATCTAGTAGTTATACATAGCTGTTGAAAAAGCACCATAATTTATGATCTTGTGGTAAGTGGGGAAGTGGGATACTGGGAGGAAACACGAGCAGGAGCACATGAGAGGGCAGGGTTCCTGCCTCATACTGAGAAAGAGGGACAATCAGCGAGTTATCTTAAGTGCCTATACACAAATGCGAGAAGCCTGGGAAACAAGCAGGGAGAACTGGAAGTCCTGGCACAGTCAAGGAATTACAATGTGATTGGAGTAACAGAGACTTGGTGGGATAACTCACATTACTGGAGTACTGTCATGGATGGATATAAACTGTTCAGGAAGGACAGGCAGGGCAGAAAAGGTGGGGGAGTTGCACTATATCTAAGGGAGCAATATGACTGCTCAGAGCTCAAATATGAAACTGCAGAAAAACCTGAGTGTCTCTGGATTAAGTTTAGAAGTATGAGCAACAAGGGTGATGTCGTGATGGGAGTCTGCTATAGACCACCGGACCGGGGGATGAGGTGGACGAGGCTTTCTTCCAGCAACTCACGGAAGTTACTAGATCGCAAGCCCTGGTTCTCATGGGAGACTTCCATCACCCTGATATCTGCTGGGAGAGCAATACAGCGGTGCACAGACAATCCAGGAAGTTTTTGGAAAGGGTAGGGGACAATTTCCTGGTGCAAGTGCTGGAGGAACCAACTAGGGATAGAGCTCTTCTTGACCTGCTGCTCACAAACCAGGAAGAAGTAGGAGGGGAAGCAAAAGTGGATGGGAACCTGGGAGGCAGTGAGCATGAGATGGTCGAGTTCAGGATCCTGACACAGGGAAGAAAGGAGAGCAGCAGAATACAGACCCTAGACTTCAGAAAAGCAGACTTTGACTCCCTCAGGGAACTGATGGGCAGGATTCCCTGGGAGAATAACATGAGGGGGAAAGGAGTCCAAGAGAGCTGGCTGTATTTTAAAGAATCCTTATTGAGGTTACAGGGACAAACCATCCTGATGTGTAGAAAGAATAATAAATATGCCAGGAAACCAGCTTGGCTTAACAGTGAAATCCTTGCTGATCTTAAACACAAAAAAGAATCTTACAAGAAGTGGAAGATTGGACAAATGACCAGGGAAGAGTATAAAAATATTGCTCAGGCATGCAGGAAGGCCAAATCACACCTGGAGTTGCAGCTAGCAAGAGATATTAAGAGTAAAAAGAAGGGTTTCTTCAGGTATGTTAGCAACAAGAAGAAAGTCAAAGAAAGTGTGGGCCCCTTACTGAATGAGGGAGGCAACCTAGTGACAGAGGATGTGGAAAAAGCTAATGTACTCAATGCTTTTTTTGCCTCTCTCTTCACAAACAAGGTCAGCTCCCAGAGTGCTGCACTGGGCAGCACAGCATGGGGAGGAGGTGACCAGCCCTCTGTGGAGAAAGAAGTGGTTTGGGACTATTTATAAAAGCTGGACGAGCACAAGTCCATGGGGCCAGATGCGCTGCATCCGAGAGTGCTAAAGGAGTTGGCGGATGTGATTGCAGAGCCATTGGCCATTATCTTTGAAAACTCATGGTGATCGGGGGAAGTCCCGGAAAACTGGAAAAAGGCTAATGTAGTGCCCATCTTTAAAAAAGGGAAGAAGGAGGATCCTGGGAACTACAGGCCAGTCAGCCTTACCTCAGTCCCTGGAAAAATCATGGAGCAGGTCCTCAAGGAATCAATTCTGAAGCACTTAGAGGAGAGGAAAGTGATCAGGAACAGTCAGCATGGATTCACCAAGGGCAAGTCATGCCTGACTAATCTAATTGCCTTCTATGATGAGATAACTGGCTCTGTGGATGAGGAGAAAGCAGTGGACTTGTTGTTCCTTGACGTTAGCAAAGCTTTTGACACAGTCTACCACAGTATTCTTGCCAGCAAGTTAAAGAAGTATGGGCTGGATGAATGGACTATAAGGTGGATAGAAAGTTGGCTATCTTTGAGAAATATTTAGAAACAATTCTGGATAGAAAGTTGAGTAGTGATCAATGGGTAGTGATCAATGGCTCCATGTCTAGTTGGCAGCCGGTATCAAGTGGAGTGCCCCAAGGGTTGGTCCTCGTGCCGGTTTTGTTCAATATCTTCATTAATGATCTGGAGGATGGTGTGGATTGCACCCTCAGCAAGTTTGCAGATGACACTAAACTGGGAGAAGAGGTAGATACGTTGGAGGGTAGGGATAGAATACAGAGGGCTCTAGACAAATTAGAGGATTGGGCCAAAAGAAATCTGATGAGGTTCAACAAGGACAAGTGCAGAGTCCTGCACTTAGGACGGAAGAATCCCATGCACCGCTACAGACTAGGGACTGAATGGCTAGGCAGCAGTTCTGCAGAAAAGGACCTAGGGATTACAGTGAACAAGAAGCTGGATATGAGTCAACAGTGTGCCCTTGTTGCCAAGAAGGCCAATGGCATTTTGGGATGTATACGTAGGGGCATTGCCAGCAGATCAAGGGACGTGATCGTTCCCCTCTATTTGACATTGGTGAGGCCTCATCTGGAGTACTGTGTCCAATTTTGGGCCCCACACTACAAGGAGGATGTAGAAATATTGGAAAACATGCAGCGGAGGGCAACAAAAATGATTAGGGGACTGGAACACATGACTTATGAGGAGAGGCTGAGGGAACTGGGATTGTTTAGTCTGTGGAAGAGAAGAATGAGGGGGGATTTGATAGCTGCTTTCAACTACCTGAAAGGGGGTTCCAAAGAGGATGGATCTAGACTTTTCTCAGTGGTAGCTGATGACAGAACAAGGAGAAATGGTCTCAAGTTACAGTGGGGGAGGTTTAGGTTGGATATTAGGAAAAACTTTTTCACTAGGAGGGTTGTGAAACACTGGAATGCATTACCTAGGGAGGTGGTGGAATCTCCTTCCTTAGATATTTTTAAGGTCAGGCTTGACAAAGCCCTGGCTGGGATGATTTAGTTGGGGATTGGTCCTGCTTTGAGCAGGGGGTTGGACTAGATGACCTCCTGAGGTCCCTTCCAACCCTGATATTCGATGATTCTATGATCTTCCCTAGAACTCCAGATGGAGCCAATAGTATTTGGCAGACAGTAAGCATAGACAGGGGGAGCACAGACTGAGCTAGTAGTACTAAAATTATAGAGAATAAAGGATAGTCCCAGCCAGCGTCAGAGAGCATGAGGGTGAATGAGTGATATTGTGTAGACATGCTGAATGAGGGAGGGAGGATAAAATAAGCCAGTATTGTGACCAAGCCAAATAAGTAGGAGCACAGCTACAGCCACAATTCTGCATTCCCATGAATTTTTATAAAGTAATATTGAAGGGACTCTGCAAAAAGGAGAGGGAAGATGAGAAGCACAAATTTATCCACTAGAGGCTGCATTTTATGCCCTATTTATAAAATCTTTCAGAAGAGGAAAGAAGGGAGTTTAAAGTCTTTGTTTTTCTATAATAATTAACTTTTAAATTTATAAACCAACTTTTATTTCAGACTCTAGATCAAAAACTCCATTTGTACTGCATGTATAAATACACAGCTTCACCTCACTCTCCACTGTACAGTAATTTATGTAACAGCACTTCCTGAGAGTCATTGACTTTACATTACTTTGCAGCTCCCCTGAAATGTTTGCACCCTGATTGGTTACTGTATGTAGACAACCTGATAGGACGGCAGATGGACTTAAATAACACCCTAAGTTAATAGCAATCTGCTATGCCAGGGAGTACAGCGAACTCAAGGTTAATTAGAAAACATCTTTCTTAAAACAGTAATTCTCGTGTGATCCTCCAAAGATGAAAATTGATATTCATAGTCACATTCTACCTAAGGAATGGCCTGATCTAAAAGAGGTAATAAGAGGTTAGATATTTGGTGCAGTATTAGAGCAGCCTCTATTGTTACCATTGTAGTTTCCGATATATCAAAGTTTTTATTGCTATACAAACATCTGTTTTCAATGGTTTTTTTCTCTGATTTGGGAGGATTTAAGACCCTCATCCTGCATGACTTGTTACAGAAAAACTCCCACTGAGTAAGAAGTGAAGGACTGGGCCCTATTTCAAACAGTTTGAGTTTGTTTGTGCTTTCTAATTCCACATTAATTATGACTTTTGAAGCTCTATAAATCAAAGGCCTACTATGCTGGTTGCTAAATTAAGTTAGATGGGGTGGTTGCAGATTTCTGTATTTTTATATATTGCCTAAACAATCTGATGTTTTAAAGATTTACAGTTGTAAAAATGCTGAGCTATTAATTCTGTGTTCTTAATAAAACAGTTAACCTATTAGGAGAAGGTTTTCAAAGACATAAAGGATAGTTAGGTGCCCAAATCCCATTGACTTTAAATCTCCCCGTTAATTTGGTTTGTATTCAAGTTTTCTTAAAACATGTGTAAAAGAAGCATTAGGCAAATAACTAACAATGAATAGGACTGAAATCACTCTGTGATTCAGCCTGCATCCACTGAAGTGAATGGGAGTATCACCATTGATGTTAACGGATACAGGATCACCCTTCCTGTGTTTGGCTAAAAAAATTTTTTTTCTAAATTTTTTTTCCTTTTTCTTCTTTTGCTGGAACTTTTTAATCCATTGGACAGATTCCGTATATTGCACTCTAAATGAAAAACTCAGTTAATAAATTCAAATACTGCTCAGAATAGAGGGCAAGTTAAATTGTTTTTAATATTTGCATTAGAGGTAGTCTAAATCTTATAAGTTATTGATATTGTAAATTCAGAGTCTCTTAGTAAATCCAAAGTGCACTGTCAGAAATAATTCCCTAGGCTCCATGTTCCATAGTTGCAAACTACCTTGGTGGTGCAGTAGGACCCAAGTGCAGGAGGGAGAACTATTGGTAACA